GGGGGGGGGGGGGCGCGGCTGTGTTCCCCGATGGTGGCGTGGCTCTCCCCCCCCCCCCAGCCGCCGTGCTTGGCCAGGAAGCGGTAGTACTTGGTGGTCACTTGCCCTTTCACCAGCACTGCGGGGACAAAGCGGGGAGAGCCTCAGCGCGGCTCCCGCCTCCGTTTTGATCGGCCCCGGCAAGGGGGCGCGCACCCCCCAGACCCCCGTGGGCGAGGAGAGGGACTGAGAACCCCTTAGCATCACATCGGGAAGCAGCGTGGACCAAAACCCCCGTGGGCAAGGGTGGTGGAGGCCCCCGGGCAGGGCTGATCTCAGTCCCCGAGAGTCGGGCCACCCGTTATCAAAGGCTATTCGGGGAGATCGGTGGGGCAGGATGAGTAGACCGGGGGGTTGAATCTCCCCACCCACTCTCACCCCGACACGTCGTCATCGAGATTTAATTCTATAAATCTGGCTTTGGGGTTTATCTCTTCTCGTTACATTCTCTGTAAGGAAACTTACCGGAAATTAATATCCTTTTTATTCATCTATCCATGTATTAATGTCATCATGATATCAAAATAGAATAAAGAACAGCTCTCCGAATCGGGCTCACTACTGCAGTCAAAATTAGATACACAGATAAGATTTGTGAGACTCGGTGGAAGTGGACCAAAAGTATTTGGATTTCACTGGCATGGCTTTTTGGAGCAAGAAAAAAGGTTTTTTCCTAACCGGAATTTGAAGCGAACTGAGCCCTGAGGTTTGTGCAGGGGAGTTCTTGTCCTACAGCCGGGAGCTGAGGAGGGAAAAACAGCCTTTCATTGCCGATCCCCTCCATTTGCCTCCTGCCTCCAGCTCGGAGATCAGTCTCTAACGACTTGTTTCATTAAAAGCTGCTGCAGGTTTTGCTTATTCTCCCCTCCAGTGAGCTGGCTTTTCCTGTCCCGACCTAGAGGTAAATCCTAACAAACCCTCACAGTCCATCTGCAGAGGGGGGAAGGCGGGGGGCGAGGGACAGGGTCTCTACAAGAACATCATCTCCTTACACAAGTGATGCGCGCATCGCAGGTGGAAGGTGTCACAGCCGTGGACGTGGTGGTAAAGGGTCTTCTCTATCAAGTCCTGGGGCTCGTAACCTGTTAGCTCAGCTACCCTGCAAGAGACACAAGCAGCAAATACCAGTGGGTGAGAGGACAGGAGAGGAGGCCTGGGGAAGAAGAAGGGAAGGGCTAGGGAAATAGATTTGGAAACAACTCCGGCTCTACCTGGAATCTAAAAATATGAGCTTCATGTCTAGGCTGGCCCGAAACATGAACATATTGCTGTGGAGCTTGATCTCCGTCACGGCGCTGGGCGGCAGCGAGTGGCCCACGGCGACCAAGCCGACGTTTTGGTAGCAGCCGTCGAAGGGGGACATGTCCAGGCTGTACTGGCGGATCTTCAGGTACCCGCTGCAGTGAATGACCTGCCGGAGACACAGGAAAGCTCAGGGGCTGCCTAGCAGGGGGGGAGGCTGTGCTGGGCCAGGCGTCCCCCGCGGCGGGGGACCCGGCCAGGCCCGCCCCACGCCCCCGCCTCTGCCCCGGCGGCCGCCGGCCGGCCC